GCCTCAGCTCAAGGACCTAAATGGTGAAAACATCAAATGCAAGATTCATTAGCAAATGGCAAGATGACTAGCTTTATATCAGATTTCACACATGCATAGAGCCAATACCTCTTTAGATGCCCGGAACTCCTCTAGCTTATCGCTTGCAGAAACTTCTGTAAGTCTTTTGGTATCCCTGACATCAGAAAACAATGGTAAAGCAGGAGCTACACAGGGAAAGAGTAAAACTACCCAATTTGATTCATAAGAAGATCCTTATGGAATCATTTGACATATTGGAAATGAGCTGCAAATTGCAGAAGCAACATCGCCCTTCACTAAATCATGTCAAAGCTTCTACTTTTATTAACCGATAAACTGAATGCATGTCAGAAGCTTTTCAAAGATGGAAAAAAGGTAGAGAAAACTACCACTTCCTTGAACCAAAAAAATCACTTTCTTGAACCATCTATATATCCAAGAAGTAAGGTGGCTAGCCCAAATAAATTCATTCTCAGAAAACATCTTGAAAATTTATAATAATAATAAAGAAACGCTTTATCTCCAACATATCATCTATATTTAGAAGCGCCACAGGAAGCCAACTCTACCAGAACATTTCTCCGTTAAATAAGTTAAAAGTATATATTGATGAAAGAGAGGCTTAATCTCCTACAGAAACTAACCTCGAAATCAATTATTGGAATATCTAGGTCAGCAAGCACTACAATGCCAACTAAAATACAATCATTCGAACCTAAACATAGACAAACCAGCCAAACCTTGAATTAATAAAGGAAAGTCAAACTTACTTTAATTTGTTCTTGCTCAAACTCTCAGCCTCTGCAAAGTAACCAGACGCCCCATAAATTTCCCGCATCTGTAGTAAATAAAAAGTTGGCTATATCAGTCTTCTAATGAAACCTCATGTCCTCATCTACGATGCTAAAGCTTATATGACAAGTATTGATACCTAAGTCCCAGACTTTTGACAAGGCTTTATATGCAACCAAAAAATTATGAAGTCCTAAATCAAATTGCAAAGTTCCCAATTTGCAAAGAGGCATACTAAGCAGACAAGTGGGCCCACATTGTAGCAAGGGGGCTTAAATATTTACTATATCTATACATTATATAAGATTATAAAAGTACGATACACTGAAAGGCCGAACCAAATGCATTGGCAAAGAACGCCATCGTTTAAGTAAAGGTTATAGGTTCATAGCTGAGCCCGTGACCTCTTTATATTCTGGTCATTTAGCTCAGTGCTTCGTCTTTGTGTCGGCGCTTTCATCCAAAGAATCAACCTTCGCATTTATGAGGGTTTGGTGCTGCTCGGCATTTGTATCAAATATGCTATGTTCACTAATTATACAAAATTGTTTAGTATAATAAGAACTACTACCATGCCTCAATCCCAAAGTTGAGATCAGCTATATAAATTCTCAATATCCATTTCACTCCATTTGGACCTATTTCATCCCAATACTCAAGGTAACGGGGAGATTGACAAGGATGTTACACATCGTATTGGAACAAAATGGACGAAATGGAGGCTCGTGTCTGGTGTTCTACGTGATAAGAATGTGCCACCAAGACTTAAAAGGTAAATTCTACAGAGTAGTGGTTAGACCAACTATGTTGCATGGGACTTCGTGTTGGCCAGTCAAGAACCCCCATGTTCAGAAAATGAAAGTAGCAAAAATGAGGATGTTGAGATGGATGAGTGGGTATATCAGGAGAGATAAGATTAGTAATAAAGTTATTCAGGACAAAGTGGGAGTAGCCTCCTGGAGAACAAGATGCAGGAGTCGAAACTGAGATGGTTCGAGCACGTTAAGAGGAGAAGCACTGATGTTGCTATTAGGAGGTATGAGAGGTTGGTCATGGCGGGTTTGAGAAGAGGTCAAGGTAGGCCAAAAAAGTACTGGGGAGAGGTGATTAGGCAGAACATGGTGTTGCTTCAGCTTACTGAGGATATGACCCTTAATAGGAGGGTGTAGAGGTCGAGAATTAGGATAGAAAGGTAGTAGGTAGTTGAAAGTTTCTCCTTTTCTTACCAGTAGTACTAGTAGCACTCATGTACCTTTATATTCTTAGATCTATATTACGTCATGTTGTTTAGTTCGCTTCATTTATCATATTTCCTTGTTGTTACTGTTTGGTACTTTTCTTTTTCTTCTTCTACTTCTTTCTTCTTCTCACCTTTTCTGAGCAGAGGATTTATAGGAAACAGCCTCTCTACCTTCACTAGGTAGGAATAAGGTTTGCGTACACACTACCCTCCTCAGACCCCACGTGTAGGAATATACTGGGTTTGTTGTTATTGTACTCAATAATTTGAGGTTATCTTAGCACTAGAGATTTCTACATATTTTCTTGACACACAAATATCTAAAATTAATGACTCCTTGCAAGCCACTTCATATGTATGTACACCAACATGGCTAAGCCTCTTTCTGCCATCCATTGCTTGCTCTAATGCCCAGCTGCTCTATTGCTCTTTTGGTTGGTTCATATTAATTTTTAGAACTTTTTAGTGGTTAATTTATTATGTTATTTTCTTATTTTGTTGTTTATTTGTTATTTTCTAATCTTGCATTATGTGTTATTGTTTATAATTTGTAATCTTGATTTCTGTGTTGTTCTTGTTAAATTGTCATTTTATGAATTTACAATGATGAAAAGAAAATACAAACATTAAGAAGTGAAGCTTTGAGTAAAAGGCCGAAATTGAAATAGCATAAAAATTGTAATTTAATAAATTATTCGGAGTAGAATATGCTGCCTATTTTTTTTCCTTTTTCCCCAAACAGTAGTACAGAAAGATTTTCCTAAAACCGTTGGGGCAAAATGACACCAGATAAAGAAAAAGAAGGCAGGGTCAACGCGATGAAGTTTGGTGCTGTTCCTCAGTGACGTCATCTCAACTCCCACTAAAGGAAGACCCTAGTTGTTTGTCTTGGGCCGCCAAACCCACTCACCTAAATCCTAGGTCCACCACTGTAGGTAGATCTAATATCTTATCCAACTGGAGACAGACGGCGTCTCTGCCACAATATGGAGATTGATGATGATAAGAATGACAACCTATACACATGTAGGAGTAACATAATCTCATAAAATTTGGGGGACGATGGCAAGTGCAATAGGCAGTATTTAACCAAACTGTTATTTTACCTCAGAGAAGCTTTTCAGTAAATTGTCAATGCAGCACACGACGAAGAAAACA